GTGAGACCCTATAGACCCTGTACTAAATACATAAAAAAGATTTAGCAAAGGTTGGGTATGGCGACTCGTGCCTATAATCCTAGCACTCAGGAGGCTGAGGCAGGAGGATTGCTGAGTTCCAGGCTAGCCTGAACTACATAGTGAGACTCGTCTGAAAAAAAACAACAAGGGAAGGTAAGAGAAAGGAAAAGGGAAGGGAAAATAGAAAGGAAAAGGGAGGGAAAGGGAGGGAAGGGGGTGGGTGGGGAAGAGAGAGGAGAGGAGGGGAGGGGAGGGGAGAAGAAGAAGGCTTGGCAAAAGCAAGGTTTTTAACTGACCCTATACTGGGAAGATGCAGTGCAGGATCTCAACTCCAAATCCTTGCATGCTCAGAGTCTACTGCTAGTACTCACCTTGGTTAGGTAGAAAGCCAAGGCAAGAGCAGATACCATGGAGTCCAAGTCACAGGCTTCATTTCCTAGTACCACGTGCAAAGGCCGGGACTCCTGGAGAGGAAGAAGAGGAATATTTTATACCTAAACCTGATATAAAGGCTTCCTCAGCCTCTGTCCACTTGCACTTACCTTCAGGTCTCTCCCATGGGGCTTCCTGCACACCTCTGCCTGAGCCCGGAGGAGGGGAAGCCGGGCAGTGATTCTGGGCCTCCCTGCTCAGGTGAGGGTCTCACCGCAAGGGCCCTTTGCCCGAGGGTTTTAGCTCAGCTTTTAGCATTCCACACATACCCAGTTGGTGGGAAAGTGCACCTTTCTCTCTATTCAACTGTCTCCACAAATGTGACCTTGCAGAAGAACAGGAATAAAGGATTAACTGATTTCTTATGTTTTTTAGGCATTCAAGGAGCCAATAATGGGACATTTCAGTAGCTGATATATCCAAGCCTCCACTTGCCCCCATTTTCAAAATAGGGCAGGTAACTCTTATCCTTCTAAATCATGAGAACAGGCGAAGAGATTTTGGAAATAAAGGTAAAAGTCAGACTCAGTCACTTGTCCAGCTGTCCAAGGAAATCCTGTCTTCACTAAGAAGCCCCAGAAATAACCACATACATAACCAACAGCCAACAGCTCTCACCACCTAAAAGCAGACCTGGTTAAACAACACTCCCTCTAGAAACTGTGGGTTTTTTTTAATTTTTAAAATTTAATTTATGTGTGTGTGTGTGTGTGTGTGTGTGTGGCCAGCTCAGCCCACCAGGGGGCGGGGCTGGCTGGCATGTGGTGCGGGGGATTGAACCGCGGTCCCTGTGCTTTGCTAAGCTTGTTCTAGGTAGGTACTTTAGACCACTGAGCCATCTCACCAGCCCTAGAAACTGTGTTTTTAAAGCTTTGAAAGGCCCAGCTGCTGATAAGTACTGTGAGGAGGGAGAGATAGATGTTATCATTAATCCTGCTCTCTTGCATCTCCCTAGCTGTCCGAATTTTAGGTAGAACACATAGTGTTAGGCTATAGTTCCCACAACAGCACAGACAGGATTTTGGTCTTTTTTTAAAAAAACATGTTGTGGGGCCAGAGAGATGGCTCAGTGGAATAAGCACTTCCCTGGCAAGTGCAAGGGCCTGAGTTCAATCCCCAGTTCCGCAAAAAAAAAAAAAAAAAAGAAAAGAAAAAAACATGTTGTAAGTGTGCTAGGCGTTATTCTTTTTTTTTTTTTTTTTTAATCTTTTTGCATGCATTAACTGAGCATTTGCCAGGTATGATGGTGCACGCCTGTAATCACAGTACTTGGGAAACTCACCATGAGTTCGAGAACAGCCTGGGTTACACCTGTCTCAAAAAAGAAAATAATTAACTAATCTGTTTAATACTCAAGAATTATTCCTAGAGGGCTGGTGAGATGGCTCAGTGGTCTAAAGCACCTACTTGGAACAAGCTTAGCAAAACACAGGGACCACGGTTCAATCCCCCAGCACCACATCCAGCCAGCCCCGCCCCCTGGTGGGCTGAGCTGGCTACACACACACACACACACACACACACACACAAATACACATAAAATTAAAAAAAAAAAAAAAAAGAATTATTCCTAGAGTCAGGGATACAGCTCAGTGCATAGTGCCTGCCTGGCAAGTGCGAGGTCTTGAGTTTGATTCCAGGCACACACACATACACACACATACAAATTATTCTTTTATCCCAGGAATGAGCATGCTGTTGGGTAGATTGAGCCAGGTAGCAGCACAGGCCTGTAATCTCCAAGATGCTGGAACAAAGCAGGAGTTCAGCCAGAATAATTTAGCAAGATTCTTTCAAAAAATAAAAAAAGCTCAGTATAGCTCACTGCAAAGGCCTAGTAGCACTGGGGGAAAAAAGAAGAGAAAGGAAGGAAGGGAGAACAGAAAACCAAAGAAGGAAAAGAAGGGGAGGGAGGGAAGAGGGAAAGCCTACTGTTCAGTTTAAGGCATAATAATTCTCTTTGCACTTTTCTTTTGAACTTCTACTTCAGTCTTCTTCTGAAAAAGGATAGGATGAAAAAGACAAAAAAAGACACTTTAGTGACATCATGACTCCTCAACTTCAACCTTGTTATGGGGACTGGATAATCCTTGGTCATAGGCTGTCCTGTGTGTGTTGTCTGATGTTGGGCAGCCCCTGAGGATCTACTCACCAGATGGTGGGCACATCCCAGGCCTCAGTGAGAAGCTCTCAGGTTCCCTGGCTTTTTTTTTTTTTTTTTCTTTTTCTTCAAATCTTTTTGTTTATTTGGTACAGAGTCTAGTTGTGCAGCTCAGATCCTCCTGTCTCAGCCTCCCCAGCACTGGAATTACAAGGGTGCACCACCTTGTCCAGTTTTGGTGGCTGACACAGCATGTGGTACCAAAGATCAAACCCAGAATCCTTGCAGTTGCCAGGCAGGCACTTACACCACTGATCTGTCTCCCTAGCTTTAAAAGGGGCAAAATCACCCCATTTGAAAACAACTTGAGTTACAGGAAGGTGAAAATTCATAAACTCTGGCTTCTTCAATCAGGGAAGATTTGGTAGGTCCACAAGCTTAGCAAAACAGGAAGACAGTTGAGAGGGAGTAAAACACAGCCAGAAGTAGTTACCAAGAAATTCACTTGTGAAATAAGAGGAAAATGTTCAGATGGAGGGAGGGGAGGGAGAAGCAAAGAAGGGAAAAGTGAGAGAGAGAGAGAGAGAGAGAGAGAGAGAGAGAGAGGAAAAACATGGGGGAAAAAAAGAAAAACATGGGAAAAAAAAACTATAAATGGATAGGAGCCGGGGAGATGGCTCAGTAGGATAAGCGCTTGACTGGCAAATGCAAGGATCTGAGTTCAATCCCCGGTTCCGCAAAAAAAACAAAACAAAACAAAAAAAAAAACTATAAATGGAGAGGGGAGGAGGGTTGAAGAATGGAGGAAACTGTACCATGTACAGGTATAAATTCTCTATGAAGAATGTGATCGTTATGTATACAAAGAACGTACCAACAAAAATTTTTTCTGGGGGGGAACCGGGGATTGAACTCAGGCCCTTGCACTTACCAGGCAAGTGCTTATTCTACTGCGCTATCACCCCAGCCCAACAAAATCTAATTAAAAAATAAAAATTAACTTTGGTGCAAAGACCCTGCGTTGAACCCCTGGTATCTCAAAGAAATGTAAGTTTAGCCTTTGGAGAGCTGTCGGTAATCCCCACACTCAGAGAGCTGAGGCAGGAGGATCAAGATCACCACAAGTTTGAGGCCAGCCTGAACTACATAGCCAGACCCTGCCTCACAGAAAAAAAAAAGTGCTACCTGTAGCAACATGAGTGGAACCGAAGGATATTACTGTATGAAATAAATCAAGAACAGAAAGCCAAACACCATGTGTTCTTATATGTGGAAGATAAAAACTTGACCTAAAAAAGTAGAGGGGGGCCAGGGAGATAGCTCAATAGAATAAGTGCTTGCCTGGCAAGTGCAAGGGCCTGAGTTCAATCCCCAGTTCCGCAAAAAAAAAAAAAAAAAAAAAAAGTAGAGAATAGGGCTGGGGAGATAGCTTGGTGGTCTAAGTGCCTGCCTGGCAAGTGCAAGGACGCTAGTTTGATCCCTGGTACTAGTTTGATCCCTGGTACTACACACTGTGTTGGCCCTGGAACCCTGGGCGCATTGTGCCCGCCACCAAAAACTGGGCATGGTAGTGTAATCTCAGCGCTAGGGAGGCTGACACAGGAGGATCACTATGAGTCTGAGCTGCAGAGGGAGACAGTATACCAAATAAATAAAAGATTAAAAAAAAATGTGTAGAATAGAATAGTGGTTACCAGATCCTAGGCAGAGTGTGGGGCCATGAAGAGGTCAGTCCAGGCACAAGGTACAGTTGTACAGGATGAATAACATAAGTATTGCTGATAAAAATTAGACAAAATATTTCAAAATAGCCTGTAAAGATTCTGAATGTTTCCAACATAAAAGTGATGACAGACTGGCAGTTCAGCTCAGCTGCAGGGTGTTCTTCTCCAGCACCCAAAATAAAATAAAATAAAAACCAGATGATAAATGCCTGAGTGACAGACACAGCAATTATCAATGCTTTGTCTACATGTACTGGACTGTTTGTTCACTGTACCCATGAGTATGTATCATTCTACAAGTCTTTTTTTCTTTTTGAGACAGAGTCTCACTGTAGAGTCTATGCTTGCCTTGAACACACTATATAACCCAGGTTGGCCTCAAACTTGTAGTAGTGATCCTCCTGTCTCAGCTCTGAGTGCTGGGATTACAGGCATGCACCGCCATGTCTGGTCAGCCAGTCTTTCTCCACACTAAATTCTTTTCTAAAGCAAAAAGAGACCAGACCCTAGTCCTATGGCAATGCCTTTGACAGGCAACTCATATCCCTGCTGTAGAGGAGGCCTCCCTGTTTCCTGGAGACCAAGGGCTGCCTGGATGGCTATGGCACAAAGTGACAGCCAAACTCTAGATCTAAGTGGCTCCAGCAAGTACTTGTCCACTGAAGCGCGAGGGGCCTGTGTGTTCTGGAAAGGGAACTACAGAGACAGGACAGGCTACAGGGCCCTGACTGTTGAAGAAAAGAGGTAAGTGGAGCTGAAAAAAGGGCAGAACAAGGATAGGGAAGCCCATGGAGAACCTTCCCCCCAATTCCTTTATACTGGTGCTACTTTACTGCTAGAGGCCGCTGGATCAAGACTGCTCAGATCCCAGCAGAAAGAAGGCAGAGCAAAGCAAAAGGCAGGTACCAAATATAATCTCATCGCTGAGATGAGGAGAAAGAGTTCCAGAGTGTGGGGAAATAACCACCCTCTTGCGCTTGGCTGTGCTCTGGTAGGAACCAAAGGAATGAACAGAAGTGCAAGACTGGGAGGGAGGTGGCAGCATATCTGGCCCCTCCCACCACCACACTGACCATTGCCTGTCCTGGCTGTTTGCCACTCGGAAACCATGATGCGCACATTCTCAGCTCTGCCTACCCTCTGCACTATTTGTTGTGTTTGAAAGCAGGACAGCCACTGGAATCCCAGCTCTGCCTCATCTGCTGTGGGACTCAGCTTTCTCTCACCTTCATCTCTTTCTCTTCTCTACCCCAGGCCTTTTTTGTGAAGCCTTCCTCACCATCCAGGGCAAAGCAATCTTCCTCTAAATACCAGCCCACTTCCAGCACCTCTGGCTCTTGAATACAGTTTTAACTCCTACCCTTTAAGGTACAACTATCTTGTAATGGCTGTGTATCCTAAATCCAAAACTTAGCTTGAGTCTGGTGACTATATTCTTTGTTCTAACCTGAGTACTTCGGGGAAAGGAAACTTGTATCCTTAATTATCATGCTCTAGAAAACTGACTCCTGGGCAAACTCCTGGTGTACAAGTGCCCACTTACAAGGCATTATTTTCCTGTTCATTTAGGGAAAACACATAACTCTTAAGCTATAGTCCAGCCCATCAGCTGAAGGCACAAGCCAAACAGCCTTGGTTTTCTACCATCATAGGAAGAACACAGGGAAAATACAGCTATACTTAGCAATACAAGGAAACATGAGCTGCCAATGGAAGAAACACAGTCTGAGAGCCACAAGTAAATATAAACTTTTTTTTTTTCTAAAAAAGATCCACTAGTTGAAAGGCTCTTATCCTGACCTTTTCTTTGTGGTCTTGTGTGGCAGGAAGGCAATTTAGAGTCAGCAAAGCAGCTGGGGAGATAGCTCGTTGAGCCTGCCTGGCAAGTGCATGGGCCCAAGTTCAATTCCCAGTACTATACACCATGCTGCCCCGGAATCCCAGGTGCACTGTGCCAGCTCCAAAGCCGGGCATGGTAGTGCATGCCTATTATCCCAGTGCTGGGGAGGCTGAGACAGGAGGATCACTGTAAGTCTGAACTGCATAGTAAGACTCTGTATCCAATCAATCAATTAATCAATCAATCAATAAATGTAGAACAAGTAAATAATTTCCCTTTTGAAGCTGAATATGGCCTGAAAAACTACTCAGCAAAACAATGAAGGGGGCGGGGATGACAGGCCAAAGAGCCGAAGAAAAACTCCTCTGCCAGGCTATGCTTTTTTTTTTTTTTTTTTAAAGGTACTGGAGAATGAAAGCATGTTTACTAGGCAGGCAATCCACCACTGAGATACATCTTTTTTTTTCTGGATCATAGGCATTTGTCACTACATCCAGTTAGGACTTTTTTTTTTTTTTTGAGACAGGGGCTGGCTGTGTAGCTCAGAGTAGCCTTGAACTCACCATGCCCAGGGCAGGACAAATTTCTAAGGACAGCCAGCCACTCAGGATTTCTGTCTAAGTGTACACAATTCAGAATCCAAAGATGCCTGGAGACTATCCCTGGATGAATATTTTGAATGCAGCCCCACCCTGAGGACTTCACCCTTCTAGGAGAAGATGAGTCACCACCAACAGGACACTTAGACAGGGTTCCTCTTACATGGAACATCTTACTGTCGCTGTGGCAGAGGCTACAGAAAGTTTCTCTGAAAACACATGTTACAAATGTGGTGTCAACAGAAGACTTGGCTGAATTATTAGCTTTTTCTATCCTATACAAAAGCCAAGCATTCACAATTCCCTAAGAAATTTACTGCTAAACTATCATTTAACAGAAACATTCAAACTGAATGCTGTCTGTTGGAAGCCTGTCTCTCTTTACACCAGAAACAACAGTGACCTCTGGGAAACTGGATGGAGAAGAAAAAGGTTTTTAAATCTGACTTAGTATCATTTTAAACTTTTTTCTTTTGAGGGGGGTTCTAGGAATTGAACCCAGAGTCTTTATAGTGAGATACATTTCCGGTGTGTGTGTGTTTTTTTTGAGAAAGGGTCTAAGTTCCCCAGGTTCTGTTCAAATTTGCAGTCCTCCTGCCTGAGCTTCCCAGACTGCTGGGTTGTGAAGTGCATGCTACCATGCCTGGCATATTCTGTAATTAAGAGATCTAAAGCATTGGCATCCACCCACCAATATGTTCTGATACCCGCTTACTGATTTTCGTAGTCAAATTTGTTCCTTTCAGCAAATCCTGATGAGACTGTATGCTAATGAGTGTTTTAAGGTGCAATGTCACCTTTACAAGTTTGCAGGTTTGGAAGGGAAGGTGTCTAGATCTTGTTCTCTTGGGGATAAATGCAAAGAAATAGGCAAAGATATAAGCAAAATATTAAAAAAAAATCAAGTTTGTTTTTTTTTTTTAATCAAGTATTTTTCCAGCTTTATAATGCGACAGAGATATACTGTTCCAGGGTGAGTGAGGTGCTGTGGACACTGGAACACATCAATCAAAGAAATGGTTTTTGGTGTGGGCACTTGACGGTGGAAAGAGTGCTTATTTGGATGACCTGGCTGGGGTGAAAAATCCAACTCTGTAGTGCTGAGAATGGTAATAGAAATGCCACTTAGTTTTCCAATGAGCTCCTTGTGATGAAATCAGAGGTAAATTAAGAACTGCTCCAAGTTGTCTTATGCATTAAGGCAACTTTTGGCCAGGTGTGGTGGTGTATGCCTATAGTCCCAGCACTTCAGAGGCAGTGTCAGGAGGATCTCAGAGAGCTCAAGACGGGCCAGGGCTACTCAGTGTGCTCAAGGCCAACCTGAACAACATAAAAAGACCCTGTCTCAAAAAACAAACAAACAAAATTTTCCCCAAATTTGTTTTTCACACCTCAACTCAGTACAAGACTATTCATTAATCCCAGCAGCTGAGTATGCTGCAGAAATCAGGTGATTTTTTAAGGATTTGTCAATCAGAATTTACTGTGAAACATAACTTGTAACACTGAAAATGCTTTATGTATTTATTTATTTATTTATTTGCAGTACTGGGGATTGAGTACATCCCCAGTCCTTATTTATTTATTGGCAGAACCGGGAATCGAACTCAGGCCCTTGGTTTGCCAGGGAAGTGCTTTTCCTACTGATCCATCTCCCCCACCCCTCCCAGCCCTTTTATTATTATCATTATTATTTTATTTGGGAACAAACAGGTTCTCATTAACTAAGTTGCCCAGGTTGGATCGGAACCTGTAATCCTCCTGTCTCAGTGTCCCAGTGTTGGGATTGACATTTTAAAAGGAAGTTATAGTCTAGGCTTATGCAGGTGCAGTGTTCAGAAGTGTGACAGCAGGGGACTTCCCAGCTAGCTTTCCACCTCTAACTGCAGATAACTGCCTAATGCTGCATGACCAGTCAGCATGGGGTGAGGCCAACTGCCTCAGAAAGTACCCAAAATAAGCTCTGAAGTATTCAGTCATGCTTCTGGTTTTGATTCCAAACATACTTTGTGCTTATCCTTTCTGAGCGGGGGTGGGGTGTTTTCTGTAATGTGTTAGAGAATCCGGGGGCAAAGGAATGCAAGCTGTGGGTCAATAGACACTGTTGATGTATTCTACATGTTTGGCTTAAAAACAGATTCAAAGTAAAACATCGTGATCACCCCTTTTCTCTTGAGTTCGGCCCGCCAGGGAGAAACTGCCATTCAGAGGAAGAAAGGCGCGCGCCCGGGCCCCTCCGTGCCGCCCAGGTCCCTCGGCGGCCGAGGGCTCAAGCAGGCCCCGGGGCGGGAGTTCAGCGGCGGGGAGAAGGGAAGGAGCGCACTCGGGGGCACGGCCGGCACCGGCGACGCTGGGCAGAGACTCAAATCAATCAGGACCCTGACCCAGGACTCCTCCCCCGCTCCGGGGCGGACCTCGAAGGCGGGGAACCCAACGCGGGGAGAATGAGCAGCATTCTCTCGCTCGTAAGCCAGTATTCGCTCTTCACACCCTAGACCTGGCAAGACCCCGCGTCCCCTCCCCACCACTCGGTGAGCCCTTCCACTTGGACCGTCCGGGTTCCCCAAATCCCACATCTTCCTCCTCCCCAGACCCCAGCCAGGCTGTACTCCTCAGTCACAGAGATCCGTTACCTGCAGAGCAGCTCGACAACCCTGCAGGTAGTCCTCCATGGTGGAGCCCGAGGGATGCCGTTGTCCCTGGCCCAGGAGAGGTTCCCGAGCGAGTGCACTCCACCCAGAACTCAGGGTCCAGAGGCGACAGTCAGGAGGCGGGACTCGAACCCGCCACAAGGCGATTCGGCCGCCAGCCCTGGGAGGAAGTGCGTCACCCGGCGTTTTCGGAGTCCGATCCGCCCCGCCCGAGAGCGGAAGCGGAGTTCTGCGCCCACAGACGCGGGGGACGTCACTCCGGAGGTGGAAGGGGCGCGGCGCAGGGCGTGCTGGGAAATGTAGGCTAAGAAGTCCGAACTCATTCCAACAATTGGAGAATTTCCTTAGGGATTTGACACACGAGTGTGTACGTGTCACATTAACCCATTTTTGTGGCTTCTGAACTTCTTCTGTCAGCCTGAGCTAAGTAGAACATCTGAACATGTATGATACCAATCATCTAGTTGTTACTTCACACCAATCATCTAGTTGTTACTTCACAACATGACACAACAGCTCTCCATGTTCCTTTTTTTTTTTTTTTTTCATCTTCCTTTTTAGAATTCACCTGGCTGTCCAATTGCTATCAGTTTTGCAGTTGTACATAAAAGAAAAACATTGAAATAGCCTTCAAGCTCTCTTCTTAACACCCACCTTTGCTGTTTCTTCCTCTCACTCTGTAGCCTCTTGTTTTTCTACAGCCTCAGCAGATGCCTTCTCATTCCTTTCCTGGTCTGTTGTCACTTTGGCGTGTTGTGCTCCAGTCCCCTGGTGGTTCTAGCTGCTCTTTCAGTCTTCAGAGTTGCCTGATGCCTCACCCTGTGGCAGCTGTGCAGGTAGACTTTGAAGGAGCTTTCAGAATACAGGTTCCAACTACCCTTAACTGCCACTTCCATTTCCCCACACCTGGTCTTTGCTCTGAAAATAAAGGTTCCCTGCTCATCAAGTGTTCTCTTGGGGCTGGGGAGATGGCTTAGAAGAATAAGGGCCTGGGTTCAATACCTGGTTCTGCAAAAAAAAAAAAAAAAAAAAAAAAGTTCCATCTCTTAACCCATCCCTCTACTTCCTACCTCCACTCTCACAAAAGCTTGTTCCTGTCCCCTAAGCCAAAAGCCCAGAGGAGGTGACTGATGAGAAGGGGCGGCCTGTGAGTACAGGGCGTAGGATCTCCTCCTGTTCTGCGGCTTCTCTCCCTTCTGCTCTTTCTCCCCAGAGCATGGGGCTTTTCCCACACCTTCTGTGGCTGCCAGATGCACAGTCCAATTCGTTTCATTTCTAGACTAAGAAAAACGATAAAGGGAGGGTTTGTGAAGGAGCCCTCAGCAGGACTATTTTTTATATTAAATGAGTAAAAATGCAAATATCATGCTCTTTCGCTCTGCTTCTGTGGATTTAGCGCACAGGCCTGTCCGGCACACACAGGGAGGAAGCCCAGACCCAGCAAGGTGCTGCTGTCCAGCCTGCTCCTCCCACTCGGCGGGGCACTTGCTCTTCCCTGTTCTCACCAGAGAGGCACAAGTGCTCCGTCCCTTCAGCGGCAGGCAAAAGGAAGAGAAAGGGTCTGTTGTTTTTCTCTCCTTGTTTCTCTCTCTGTCTCTGTTGATCGCTAAGCTGCTGACTAAGTAAGAAAGCTTTGATGGAAATCCTCCAGTGCTGGTCAGGCCCCTCCTCCTCCAGGGAGCTTGTCCTTGACTAATTTTTCTTTGTCCCAATGGGAAAGAGAGAGAGGGACAGAGACAGAAAGAGGAAAAAGCAAAACCACAAACTTCCTTTGAAAATCAGTTTGCATGCAGGGCCTGGAGCACATGCCGGAGACTCAGCTACTCAGGAATCCTGAAGACGCTTGGAGAAAGCTAGCCCGGGAGCCCCTGGACTGCGCCCTGCCCGCCCGCACGCTGCTGCGTTGCCCCCAGCCCTGGGTGTGAGTCCGGAAGTGGCCACAACCCAGCCAGCCTGGCCGCGCTCCCACTGAGCCTGTGTCAGCCTGTGTAAGCTTGGCGTTGACAGCCAGGAGGCAGAGAGCCCAGGTGCCCCTCACTGTGCTACCCCCTCATCAAACTGCCAGAGCTGAACCCTCTTTTCAGTCTTGGGACTGCACCCACTTCTTCAAGGTAAAAACTTTGTTTTAACCATTTTTTCCACCTCTTCCCTCACCCACAGCTCTTCTTCTCTCCAGCTCCAGGGAGTTGGTAGCTGGCTCTCCTCCCATCGGTGGTCTCTGAAGGTCTGGTTTGCTTGGAGAACGGAAAGGAGCTGTTGTTGGTCCCTTCCTTTCTTCCTAACCAAGCCCTTCCCTTCTTTCTTGGGAGCAAGTAAGCAGCGTACTGTTTGAGTTATTCACAGGGAAAATTGAAACCATTGGTTGCTTGAAGATCTGGGTCAGACTGAGTAGACTGGCATGGGGCAGTAAGGGACTCGATGGGAGAGAAAGGTCTGGGGAAGGGGCTCCTTCTGGAAGCCACATACACGCCTATTTTATGTGCCGGTTCTGCTGTGGGGTGGTTTCCTCCCCTGGGGTTGGGACCAAGGCTCTTTTAACTCCTCACGGGCCATCCACTATAAAAGAAATCTGAGCTGGACAGAAAGTACAGACTTGAGCTGAGAAAACAGAAGGAAAAGGATGAAATTCTGACTTCCTCGAGTACCCTCCCCCACGAGAGCACCTTACAGCCTCCCTCGGTGCAGTGTCCAGACTCAGGTTTCTTTTGGTAACTCCCTCTGGCCAGCTCGCTTCCCAACCCCCATACAATTATTGATCATTTCTAGCACTAGGCAGAAAGTAAGCCCTGCTTTTCTTTTCTTTCTTTCTTTTTTTTTTTAAATTTTTTTTATTTATGTGTGTGTGTGTGTGTGTGTGTGTGTGT